TGAACCTTGAACATATACATTTAAGGTGCAGACATTAAGAACCCATGTCATTTTTTTCCAAGAGTAGAAGTTATATTACTTCGCCGTTGTTAACATGGGTACGTTCTTTTTATACGTCTACGGGGCAGTCACGCACAGCTACGTTAATGCGGAAGTAGGCATGGTTAAATCTGAACGGGGTTGGAAAAATGACAGATGGAGTTGCACAGTTCTATAGATTAATAAAGAACAGTGTAGCAGCGCAGCAGTCTGTGTGACCACACAAAGACACAGCAGCTCAGCCAGCAGCCAGACCCAGCTGCTAGCACAGGCAGACAGTGGGGCAGGAATGAGTCTTAAAATACGGAAATTAGTTAGATTTTATGCAGTTCAATTCCCTCAAAGTCTGAAATAAGGTCTTTGGTTAACACAAGCTGAAGAGATTAGAATGTTGTATTCTTCAACATCAAATACGTCAGTTAATAGCCCACTGGTGGATTTTGCTAACAAGTGTCTAAATAAGACGACTAAACATCATCACTCCCAGCATTTGCCGCCTTTAGTTTAGCGGTGGTGACGTGAAGTCATGTGGCCGTGCTGTGGTTCCTTTATAGGCCAACATTAGCCACCTTTAGCTTAGCGGTGGTGACGTGAAGTCATGTGACCGTGCTGTAGTTCCTTTATAGGCCAACATTAGCCTCCTTTAGCTTAGCGGTGGTGACGTGAAGTCATGTGACCGTGCTGTAGTTCCTTTATAGGCCAACATTAGCCACCTTTAGCTTAGCGGTGGTGACGTGAAGTCATGTGACCGTGCTGTAGTTCCTTTATAGGCCAACATTAGCCACCTTTAGCTTAGCGGTGGTGACGTGAAGTCATGTGGCCGTGCTGTAGTTCCTTTATAGGCCAACATTAGCCACCTTTAGCTTAGCGGTGGTGACGTGAAGTCATGTGGCCGTGCTGTATTTCCTTTATTGCCCAACATTAGCCACCTTTAGCTTAGCGGTGGTGACGTGAAGTCATGTGGCTGTGCTGTAGTTCCTTTATAGGCCAACATTAGCCACCTTTAGCTTAGCGGTGGTGACGTGAAGTCATGTGGCCGTGCTGTATTTCCTTTATTGCCCAACATTAACCACCTTTAGCTTAGCGGTGGTGACGTGAAGTCATGTGGCTGTGCTGTATTTCCTTTATTGCCCAACATTAGCCTCCTTTAGCTTAGCGGTGGTGACGTGAAGTCATGTGGCCGTGCTGTAGTTCCTTTATAGGCCAACATTAGCCACCTTTAGCTTAGCGGTGGTGACGTGAAGTCATGTGGCCGTGCTGTAGTTCCTTTATAGGCCAACATTAGCCACCTTTAGCTTAGCGGTGGTGACGTGAAGGCATGTGGCCGTGCAGTATTTCCTTTATTGCCCAACATTAGCCACCTTTAGCTTAGCGGTGGTGACGTGAAGTCATGTGGCTGTGCTGTAGTTCCTTTATAGGCCAACATTAGCCACCTTTAGGTTAGCGGTGGTGACGTGAAGTCATGTGGCCGTGCTGTATTTCCTTTATTGCCCAACATTAGCCACCTTTAGCTTAGCGGTGGTGACGTGAAGTCATGTGGCTGTGCTGTAGTTCCTTTATAGGCCAACATTAGCCACCTTTAGCTTACCGGTGGTGACGTGAAGTCATGTGGCCGTGCTGTATTTCCTTTATTGCCCAACATTAGCCACCTTTAGCTTAGCGGTGGTGACGTGAAGTCATGTGGCCGTGCTGTAGTTCCTTTATAGGCCAACATTAGCCACATTTAGCTTAGCGGTGGTGACGTGAAGTCATGTGGCCGTGCTGTAGTTCCTTTATAGGCCAACATTAGCCACCTTTAGCTTAGCGGTGGTGACGTGAAGTCATGTGGCCGTGCTGTAGTTCCTTTATAGGCCAACATTAGCCACCTTTAGCTTAGCGGTGGTGACGTGAAGTCATGTGGCCGTGCTGTAGTTCCTTTATAGGCCAACATTAGCCACCTTTAGCTTGGCGGTGGTGACGTGAAGTCATGTGGCCGTGCTGTATTTCCTTTATTGCCCAACATTAGCCACCTTTAGCTTAGCGGTGGTGACTTGAAGTCATGTGGCTGTGCTGTAGTTCCTTTATTGCCCAACATTAGCCACCTTTAGCTTAGCGGTGGTGACGTGAAGTCATGTGGCCGTGCTGTATTTCCTTTATTGCCCAACATTAGCCACCTTTAGCTTAGCGGTGGTGACGTGAAGTCATGTGGCCGTGCTGTAGTTCCTTTATATCCCAACATTAGCTGCCTTTAGCTTAGCAGGGGAGAAGCAGCCATAGTCCCACCTACTTAACTCTGATTGCTCGATCGTTTCTCCAGTGGCTGTGAGGTTTTGTGATAAAGCTGCCAAATCCTCAAGGTTTCTCCCTGCTCATATTTGGAAGCTTTTCTGTGAAATTTGTTGACCTCTAATTAAATTCTGAATTCTGGTGTGTTTTCTGACAGTCGGAGTCTCTGGAGGATCCTTTCCCCTCGGATATCCACTTCCCTCTCTCTCTGCCTCTGACCTCAGACCCAGCAGTGGAAGAGGAAGAGGAGCCCGGGAGGAGCCTGCCTGAGATCTGGTGTGACAAGGTGGCAGTTTCCTGTGACCACAACTACACAGCAGAGGACTCCGCTCGGCAGAAAAAGCGCATTGAGCAGCTGGAGGAGCAGCTGGGGAGTCTGAGGAAGAAGCTGAAGACGACTCAGCAGAAATGCCGACGACAGGAGAGACAGTTGAAGATGCTGAAGGCAGCATGCGAGACGCCGAGGACCGGCCGCCAGCCGCCTGCAACCTTCGGAGAGGGATACGTGATTCTACCCAAACACATCTACCACACACTCAAAGGCATCAAGTAACCATGAACTAATGAAAAGGAGATGTGGTCAAAATGAGAGGCAGATAAAACTGTCAGCAGCAGGAGACAGCCGCAGATCTTCCTAGCCAGCAGCGCTGCCCCGAGTCCAGACAGGAAGGGCTCCGTAAGAATGCAGGAAGCAGGAAACTCGGAATTGGTCGGTACAACAACTACTTACATATTCTTCGTGTTAGGGCTGCACTGCAATTGCTTTAACCCTTGTGTTGGCTTACTTTTTAATTGTTGTCCTCCCGGTTTGACTATTTACATAGCATATAGCGTATAAATAATCACCCAAATCTATGTTACACCTTTTAAGGCAACTTCATATCTACTTATTATGTTTTACTCGTCTTTTTTAAATGTATGTTCAATACACCTAATTTACACACAATTAAACCTAAAACCGAATTTGAATAAACTTGGATTCTTCAAGAAATAGTCCACCATGTTACTCCCCCTGAAAAAAACAATAATTGTGACTTTAATTTCTATCCTATTTATGTTTTTTTGAGGAATTCCTCCTAAAAAGGAGTGTAACAAACGGTTAATTTGTAATACTTTTCTATGATTTACTTCTTTCTGTGTTTTATTTTTTCCTCACATAAAAACAATACAGAAACATTGTGTGTCTGTCTATGTTCCTGTGAAAGTTGTTTATTAAAAATATTTTAGATAAGAAGGGTATCGTGACTTAAAATTGGAAAGAGGAAGCTAGCCACGAGACGCTCTGGAAGAATAATGGATGTGTTTGAAGTCCAAACTCAGCATCATATCTGAAGTTTAAAAGTCAACAGAAGGATGACCTTAATCCAAAGATCAGGAACAAATTAACTTTAAGCATGTGTCTGCTGGGTGGGGGTTAAACTTTCTCCTCTCTTCTTCTTTGTTTTTTCATTGTTAATTCTTCGATATTTTTTACCGGTCCAAATATCACATTAATTCCGTTAGACCAGTGGTTCCCAACCTTTTTGTCTGGTGTCCCCCTTGAGCTGGTCTCAGTTCTATAAGAACTCCCTCACTCATCTGTGATGGTTCGCCTACATTTTGTCTTGTATTAAACCCTTTGTAATTGTATTTAACCCAATTCTTTACCAACACTCCGGGTGTGTTTGGTGCTCTGCTGCTGCTGCTGCTGCAGGTGGGATGGCTTCATAGAATTATGTGCCAGGACTTCGCCACTAAAAGAACACTGTGGCTTTGTTGGATCATCAGATAAACATGTGACTCCATGAGAGATGTATTCCTCACTGAACTGCCGGTGTTTGGAGGGCCAAGACAATTTTATTTCACTAGGCTCTCCTAACCCCGGTTCTGGATGGAGCATGGAGGAGGCTCTCTATAACCGAGGATACACTGATGTATCCCCCGGAGATGTATGATGCACGGCTGGACTGATCTCAACCAATGACAGCTCTGCAAACTGTTCCCGTTGTGATTATAAGTTATTTAAGATGATCAAATGTGCCTCAGACTTTCTGCCCTTTACCGTTTGTTTGCACTAATCACATCTCCCCTGGATGTTAGGCTATTTTGTTTTTTTTAATTTAATGGTGACGCGATGTTTACAGTGAGAACAGCGGCTGAGGTTTGTGCAGAAAGCAGAGCAGTGTGTATAATATATAGCACTCAATAATATATAACGGGCTTAAATAACACTCTTTATTTGTAGGCTTTTGTAGATGTCTACGAACAAAGAGCAGATATTTCAATCTGTTGTACAGTATGTAGCTGTGTGTATATCCAGTCTGATTGCTTTACGTTATCATGAAAGTGCATATATATATATTATTTAGCAAGTCTACTACAGGATATTCCATATTTAAATCCGTTCATTTCATGTTATGACAAATATTTCCCTCTCAGTCAAAGCATCTGTAGCCTGTTATTGTCTCATTATACCGCACTGTGAATGAATCAAAGTAAATATATAAGTGGTCATGAACACATCTGTCCATCAGACAGAGGGCTGCTGTGCCTCCTGTCATCATTAATGGACGTCTCTTTAAAATGACCGCTCAGAGGAGAGGAGTTCTCATTTCTCTAACCGCCTGCTGCTTCGCCTCCTCTCTCCTCGGTTCCCCTCCTCAGTCCTCGGCTCGCATCTCCTGTGGGCGGGACTAAGTATCGAGGATAGGAGTCGAGGAGGGGGAAAATCAGAATCAGAATCAAGTTTATTGCCAGGTACATTTACACATACAAGGAATCTGCTTTGGTATCTGGTGGTGCGAACATAAACAATCTAAGAAAATAAGTTGCAATAATAGGTAAAAAAAGAAATGTATAAGGATAATACAAAATACATATTTTAAGAAACAATTTAGCATTAAAAAAAGAATACTAAAGGCAAGTATTTATACCGAATTTACATTTCAATATACAAAGAACCTTAAAAGCTGAACAACTAAAACACTTAAGACAATGAAAATATGACAAGATGTTGTTCACATGATGTGCACTAATGTAATGCACAACGTTTGTGGGGTGAAGAAACTGTCTCCACCGTCTTGAGAGCATTAAGCTCCAAGCGGTTGTCCCTGCACCAGGTCACAGATCGTCCCTATCCCACCTGTAGGCAGACCCCCCCCCACCCCACCAGAGATGAGGGTGGTGTCGTCTGCGAACTTCAGGAGCTTGACAGACTGGTGACTGGAGGTGCAGCTGTTGGTGTACAGGCAGAAGAGCAGAGGGGAAAGAACGCAGCCTTGAGGGGAACCGGCGCTGATGGTCCGGGGGTCAGAGACGTGTTTCCCCAGCCTCACGTGCTGCTTCCTGTCAGACAGGAAGTCTGTGATCCACCTGCAGGTGGACTCGGGCACATGCAGCTGGGAGAGCTTGTCCTACAGCAGAGCTGGGACGATCGTATTAAGCTGAAGTCCACAAACAGGATCCTGGCTTAGGTTCTTGCTGTGTCCAGGTGCTGGAGGAGGAAGTGAAGGGCCATGTTGACAGCATAATCTACAGACCTGTTGGCTCTGTAGGCAAACTGCAGGGGGGGTCCAGGAGGGGGTCTCTGATGGATTTTATGTGGGAAAGGACAAGGCGCTCAAAGGACTTCATAACCACAGAGGTCAGGGCGACGGGTCTGTAGTCATTGAATCCTGTGGTCCTTGTTTTCTTCGGGACCAGAATGATGGTGGAAAATGTGTTTGTTTTGACAGCTTCCTTTGGGGATTGCATACATTTTTTAATGTGTAGTTGTTGGTGTATTTACTGTCAATTGTTCAACATTGTTTATTTTTTGGTGAAAATCGTCTTGTCGTTTACTCTGTCCTTTCACAGTTGGTTCAATCTGCACTAACCAAGAAACCAGGTGGTGATCGTATTATCAAAGGATACAACCGGACGAAAGGTCTGACTGACTCCACACGGCGACAGATGGTTAACATCATGCTGAGATGACTGAAACTCATGGGTAATTATTTTGTTTTTGTGAAATTGAAGATCTCATCCATTGTGCGGAAGCTACCTCAAATGAAGAGGACATGAATGATGACACGCTTGCCTCTGGTAGTTGAATTATTCTGGCCGTGTCTCAATTCAGGGGCTGCATCCTTCGAAGGCTGCATTGGTAGACCGCTTGCGTCACTTCCGCCGAAAGAAGGCTGTCCCAATTCAACTCTCCATTGTCCACGGAACTGTCCATCGCGTGGGTTTACAGGGCGGACATGTCACTAAGATGTTTTCAGAAACAGAATATCAAAAGATGAATAAAGAAACCTTTGCTAAATGATTTTCACCAGAACAAATGTCTCTGCTCTTCAATTGTTTGACATACCTTTCATAGATATTGATGGTCCACAGGAATCTCCTCCAGAGCAGACACCTCTGCAGACAGTTGGTCCCGCCAAGGGGCACCACTGACTGCCTCCAACCCATTCTCCCCCTCATCCTCCGCCACGTCCTCAACAAAATCTGATAGAGTGTGCATTACAGCACATGGTGTAATGACCTGAAATTGCAAAAGTGGCAATATGTTATAACCTCGAAAAATAAGTCATGTTAGGTCATCCAACTCTTCTTCAGTATTATAAAAAATCCTGTTGAGTGATTACTTACTTGAGGAATGAAGGTGTGGTGCACCTCCAGCGCTTTAATGCTCCTAAAACGGGTCTTCATCATCCCGAAGGCGCGCTCGATGATGGAGTGTGCCCGGGAGTGATTGCTGTTAAAGCACTGGGGTCCCACACCTTGCAGCGGCTGTCTGTACGGAGTGATGAGGGGGAGTGGATGTTGGAGGCAGGGGTACCCCCCGTCTGCGAGGATGTACAGCCCTGGAGGAGGATAGAGTGCCCGCCGGTACAGTGGACTCTACAGTCGTGGACCGACCCAGGCCAGCCAACGTACGTGTCAATGAAGCGGCCCTGATGGTCACAAACTGCCTGCAGAATAATTGAGGGAAAAAGCTTCCTATTTCTATAACAGTCACCATAAGGGCCGCTTGGTGGCACGATGCGGACATGGCAGCCGTTGATTGCTCCAGCAGCTTTTCTGAAGGCTCGGTGTCTGGCCAGCACTACAGCCTCCAGGTCTTCTGCTGTCCTGGGGAGGTGGATAACCTGGTGGCGAATGGCCACCACCTCCTCAGTGACCCTATGGACAATCCGGTGAACAGTGGATCGAGGCATCCCAAACGCTCTGGAGACCACCCTGTAGGATGCCCCACTTGCCAGCCAGAACAGGAACACCTGGGTCTCGATGGTGGCACCCCAAGAGGTCCAGCAGGGTGTTCAGGGACTCCCTGCTCAGCCGAAAATCTTGCCGTGTGTCCTGGTTATTGAAATACCTGTCCAGGACAGGGACGGTGAGATCCATCCTGCAATACAGGGGTCTTGGCTATAAGAAAAGGTGGAGGAAAAAGGTCAATAGAGAATAGTGTAAAATTGTTATTTGTCAGTGTGTGACGAAGGTAACTTTGTCACTGTGGACTGACGGCTTCGGGCCAGGTAATATTGCACATGTGGGTTTGCACAGGACAAATGTCACTCAGCACTTTAGTGAACAGTTTTCACTTTATTAGCGTGATTTGCACAGTACAGTTAAACATTGCATATTTGCACATTTTTATACTATTTATTCATGTAGTATTTATTAAATGATTAAACCGTATTAAATTGGAATGTCGTCGGGCCCTCGGCTCCACCTGGAAAGAGAGGGGAGTGTTAGCGAGAGCGCCAAAAGTGTTTGTTTGAGTAAGATTGACAGCGGTTGAGATTAGTCATTGTGTGCAAATGATATGTTTTAGCGTGTAAAGGTCATGATGTAAAGTTGCATTAATTGTACAAGTTACCACCATGTTATTCTGTTCAGTTATAATGTTTGTGTTTGAAAAGTGTTCCCCCTCCAGTCTTGTCTGTTACTGTTGATTGTGTTCACCTGGTTCCCTGTGTTGTCGCCTCCCCCCTCACCTGTGTCTTGTTGGGTTAATTAGTGTGGGTATTTAGGCTCTGTGTTTCCTGTTTTGTGGGGGGGGTGAGATCCTTGTGGCTGGTGACTGTGCTCACAGGAACAGCAATATTGAGGCTGTGTCCTGTGCTCGAATTTAATAAATGCCCACACCGGGTTGTATTGTTGGACGTTCTGCCTCTGCCTCCTTGCTTGGTCGGGCCGCTCAATTGTCGGCTTCACTGAGTGTATTTAATATATAAAATAATACATATTATTTGTATAGCGTTTTAAGATACTCAACATTTTAAAGACATCATTAAAACAACCAACTTTAAATACATAAAGCACAACATTATTGACAACTAGAGAATGCAATTCCTGAAGAAATTGCTAGTGGGAATGCTTCATGCTGAAAAGCTGACGCTAAACAGCTATGCTGAAATGTAATGTGTAAGAAGAAAGTGAAGAGTTTAGATTGAAATGATACATGAACACTGGGGGCTTGAATGTGTGATGAGAGAAGAAAAGAAAGTAAAAAGGCTTAGAAAAGCAGCAGAATATTTGAACCGCAAACTTCTGAACTAACTTGATGGCGAATGATCTGTCGCCATGGCAACGGCATTTTGTTGACACCTCATAATACGCTTAGATGCGTTGATGGCTGCATCGTTACCAAACCTGTGAAGTTTTGGGCTGTTTGGAGCATTTTCACTGAAGTTATGAGAAAACCGTGCATTGTGTTGCCATGGCAACGGCAATTGAAGAAATCTCAAAACTGTCCCGTAGATGTCTTCACGGCTGGACTGTTAGCACACATGTGAAGTTTGAGCACTTTTTGAACATTTTCATAGGAGTTATAGTGACATCGTCTTTTAGTTGAAGCCTTTTATTGTCATTATACACAGAGTATAACGAGATTCAGCAACTCTGTCCCGGTGTGCAAAAAATACAAACATAACACTAAAAAACACGGCAATAGGACAGACAACATAAACAATCATACGGGGAATAAATAGTTACAAATATTGATATAAAGGGCATTAAAAGTCTGTGTATGTGTGAGAATGGTGACGGTTATTGCATTATGTGTGGGGGTTAAGCAGCGGTCTACATCGGCCGCATCCTTCATCGACCGCGTAGGCTGGGTCCTCCGAAGGATGCAGCCCCTGAATTGAGACACGGCCTCTGTCTTTTAATTATTCCAGTTTAAATTCACTAGCTTTTTCTTGGTCTGCTGTAGCTTAAAAGGAATTATGTTTTTAAATGTTAAGGTTGTAGCACTAACTTAACTTTTAGCTCTTTTGTTTCTGTGCACAGGATGGGACAGTGATCTGTCATCCATTATACTTCTCCTCCACCTGATTTCTCCTTCAGCCAGAAAAAACCAGACAAGGTGTCTGCATCCCAAGCTGAGAAGCATCGTGTGATGTTCAAGAAGGTTTGTGTAGTAGTTTATACAGATGTCAAAAGTGTTTTTGCCTCATCTGTGTATCGAACCGATTCTTGTGTAATAATATTTTACTGCAAATTTGGTTAAATAGTAATAATAATAATGTTACACACCCCATAAATTACCTTGTACACCTTTTTAACATTTTTGATATACCTTGAGTAATAAAAAAGATCTTGAACCAGTAATATTTAAACCATTTTTATCTAACTTCTACTAATTTCTTTAATCCTCAGATTGGAACAAGCATCCAGGAACATGTCGATGCCATCAACAGCACCACCCAACCCTATCTTCTTGCCGTTGGAATGAAGAGAAGTAATATCCATCAGTTCTTCGTCGTTCTGGATAGTAAGGTCATAGTCGACCAGTTCTCTTGGGGCTTTTGATGAACTCTTCAAGGCACATTTTGTATTTGGGACCATGTACAATCACATGCTACACAACATATACTGTACACCTTCATTCAGACAACTATGTACAACATAGACATTGGCAAATGTTGTCATAGTTTTGGTACTTTTTCAAGCTTCTGGAAACATTTAAACACAACAGATGCTGAGAAAATTGAGCATGATGTTCAAACTGATGTTTTTGTAGACGGTGATGGTGTTGAAGATAATGTACAGTCACAAGATTTAGAAGAAGCCGCTAGTAGCTCTCAAGCCCTGCCAGTAACTAACACGAGTACTCGTGATATGTGCTATTGCACAGCTTCAGGTTGCTGGTGTAGGCCAATCTACTTAGAATAGTTTTGTGTCCTCCATGGAAGAACTAGTACTGGAGATACAGAGTCAAGCTAAAGATGCAGCTTTGAAATGTTTATCTTCTCAGGATACAAGTTCGAAAGCTAAGATCGAACAAAGTTTTGAAAAACTTGAAAACCCTTTTTCTTCTTTAACTTCTGAATCTAAAAGAATTTTTTTTTTAACAGAAATGGAGAACTGTTGAACCTGTCGAAAAAGTACTTGTCAGATTAGAAAACAGAAGGAACAGATGTACTGGAATTTACGATCAGGTAGTTATAACTGACACATTTTCCTATGTTCCAATTCTTGAAACATTGCAGTCTATTCTCAAAAATCCGAACCTCAGTGATATGTTTACAAAAAGCCAAACTCCCAAGGATGGTGTATATTTCGCAACCCAGTCTCATGGCATTTCATGTTCACCAACACGATTTTTAATCTATTGATTCGTGTTCACCAACACGATTTTTAATCTATTGATTCGTGTTCACCAACACGATTTTTAATCTATTGATTCGTGTTCACGATTTTCCCCTTTTTTTCGTGTTGCACAGCACGATTTTAAAAGCAATGTATTTCTACTGGTAATATGTTTCGTGCCTGCAGCACGTATTTTTCTCCGGTCGGGTCGTGGAAGACCGGAAGCTGTGTGGTTCATAAAAACATGTTCTTACTCAATATCAAGCCACAATTATTGCTTTTATTTTAAATTGTATAATTTCTGACTTTTGTTGCCGTCTGTGAGGAAAATAAATGGGGCTCAGAGCCTCAGGATACTGAAATCTGTATTTTTAAATATTTTTTTCCTTCTAATTTGTTATTCTTTTCAAAATAACACACTGTTATTTACTCACCAATAACACACAATTATCCTTGCTTTTATTTATTGGTTTAATTCCATAATCTCTGGCTTTTTTGGCGTCCGTCAGGAACTGAATTTCAAAATAAAAATAACCGGAAACAGACGTAGGAGTTTAGGATGGCCAAAGACACTACACTACCCATAATCCCCAGCTATCGTTTAGGACTACAGTCCCCGTGATTAATCTTCAAGCTCTGGGATTGGATGTTGGAGTGGCAGTGCGCCAAGGTTACGCCGAGCGTCAAACAGCTGTTTGAAATGGAACGAAACCACGCCAGACTATCCAAAACTGGAATCGAACGCCCCCCCAGAACTACGCATGCTGGCTATTGTGTTTCGCAAAATGTTCTATGGGACGTCTCTACTAAACGTTTTCGTTTTTCCCACAATTAGAAGTTGCCAGTATTAAACACATTGGTGTTATCAAATGTAAAACATATCATTAATAAATGGGTGAAAATCGCTTGTGTCCATAATGTGCAGCATTAATATATACCCACATGACAGCTCATTGTTACTTTGTAATTCTACTCCACTACAATTCAGAGGTTAACCTGGTATTTTTACTCCACTACACTTATTTGAGTTACTTTGCAGATTCTGATTAATGATGTGAAATATAAACAACCCTTAAAGCAGACTTTAGTTACACCTGAGTAAAATTCAGGGTAGGTGATTGTCAAGTGCCAACAATCAGGAGAGATATTTGATAGTTGGTGCTTGAGAAGACTAAACATTTATCTGCAGATCTCTATAAAGTATATTCATTACTCGTTATTCTCTACTAATAGTTAATTAAAAACTCTATATAATTGCTATTTTGCACATCCCTTTCAAGATTTCAAGATTTTCAAAGGTTTATTGACATATCATATACACAACTATGGTGTAGTTATGCAATGAATGAAAATCTTGGGTCACAGTGCATTGCCTCAACAGTGCATTACAAGATATCTATCAATATGTGTGTACCTCCACCATTAAACTGTCAAATTCTGCACATTTCTTATTCTATCTACATACATGAGAGTATAATTCATGTGTATAATATCAGTTAAAATAAGTGCTTCAACATAGTTAACATTGCAGGAAAGCAATACATTAGACGTTAAGTACTTTCTCAGGCTTAATATTTATCTGTATATAGATACCCCCAAAGTTTTGTTCTTATTCAAAAGAAGACCTTAATCTGTTATTTAATGTTTAAATAAAGGTTCATTCGTTTTTCTGTTTTGCACATCCTCCTATTAATATCTTTGTACATCCTGCACTAAACTGTTTTATTGTAGAGATCACTTATAGTATCTTCTTGATTTTTTATATTCTATATTTCTATCATTGACCTTCTACTTTCCCCCTATGAAAGTATGTACTCTTAATATTTTTTTAATCAAATAAAACACAATAATTCAATAACGTGCTTTAACCACTAGGCAGTGCACACAAGGTACACACAGCCATAATAACTTTGTATTATTAGTGTAGGACACTTATGTATGTACAACATCTGAAGATGTGTAGTTTTATTCATGCTTTCACATAATTTTACAGCATATTGCTATACTATTTCAGACTCAGTATTTACATTCTTATATTCAAAGAAAATCAGTAATATCTTTAAAAACTACAAGTCCTTTTATATCAGCTGTGCACCGTTATGGTGTAAATATAACCTATCTATGAATTAGATCAAATGTAAAAGTCAGCCGAATTAGTGTTGATACTGCAAGGAGACGTATTGTGTGAAAAGAAATTGAAGATGTTGTTTAATTGTTAATATATTTATGATCCACGTCAAGTATTCAGTTTCGGCGGCATTTCTTCAGTTTTTCCAAAGGTCTTCTCATCAGGGCTCTATAAATAAAGAACTACGGCAGATCTGTAATATGTAATGCAGCCGAACCGTGTATTACAATGCCGTTATGTGATAACTTTCAAAGAGAAAAGCAAGAACACTCGGAATTAAGTATTATTTTATTCTTTTAAAATGTTTTCCGGATTTCATATCATATAAACACCAAATCCCAGCATCCATTGCGGCTAAAATATCCAATCAGCGAGCTTAAACAATAGCTGAGGATCTTGGGTAATCGCTCGAAATGCCTACGTCTGTTTCCGGTTATTTTTATTTTGAAATTCAGTTCCTGACGGATGCCAAAAAAGCCCGAGATTATGCAATTAAACCAATAAATAAAAGCAAGGATAATTGTGTGTTATTGGTGAGTAAATAACAGTGTGTTATTTAGAAAAGAATAACAAATTAGAAGGAACAAAAGATTTAAAAAATACAGATTTCAGTATTCTGAGGCTCTGAGCCCCATTTATTTTCCTCACAGACGACAACAAAAGTCAGAAATTATACGATTTAAAATAAAAGCAATAACTGTGGCTTGATATTGAGTAAGAACATGTTTTTATGAACCACACAGCTTCCGGTCTTCCACGACCCGACCGGAGAAAAAGACGTGCTGCAGGCACGAAACACATTACCAGTACATTGCTTTTCAAATCGTGCTGTGCAACACGAAAAAAAGGCGGAAATCGTGTTGGTGAACACGAAATGCCATGAGACTGGGTTGATATTTCGATATAAAAGATGGGTTGTATACATAGACTGCATATATAAATGGACGTAGGTCCGTGACGTCACCCATATGATTCTGCAGACTTGCCGAGAAGCCCTTAGTAGGCGGAGTCGGCCACTAACGGCTCGACAGTGACGTCAGAGTTCAACTCCCGCCTGCTCCAAATAAGGGCAAAGAGGCGTAGCCGAGGCGGGACCTGCTGCCACCGAGCTGGAAGTTCCAGAGCTAGCTGAAGCTACCAAGCTAAGCTAACAAGCTCCCCATCTACACACTGCCGTGGCATTTTACGTTTCTAAGGTAAGCGGACATTAAACTATTCAGCAAAACTATAAATAATAATCTAAGTTATTGAGTTTTTAGTATAATACTTCAGAATCTTAAAACCCCTTAACGTTTGTATGCAATTGTACTAAATTCAACACTGGAATCAAGCAAATATGAATATGTTGGCATGACATTAGTTATTTATATTTTGATATCACTTAACTATACGTTCAATACATTTAAGTCAAGCTAAGGTACATGTGATGGTAGCTAGTTAGCGCTCTTACCTGTGAGGCCTCCTCCAAACAGCATAATAACCAGACTGTATCATTACAACTAAGTACCAGTTCTAGATCCTTGACTTTAGACAAACAATTCAAAAGACAACATGTATTTAAAGACCAATCTTTATTTGAATGTGCCTCTTAACCTGAGATATTAGTTATACAGTAATAGTATTGACAATCTAAAAAAACTGAGCAACTCAACAGTCAACTTTATATTTCAATCATGAGAGACGTGATGTATGAAATACATGTTTAATACCGGACACGTGGTATAGAAAATTATGATTGACAGATTACAACAATGAATCAACTGATGTTTGGAGATTAGGCCCCGGTTTGTAGGATATCATTCAGGAGGGGAAAACCGCTCCGATGAACCCCCCGGGGTCTAGACACTGGTGGTGGTGATAATGGTTCGGTCTGGTCTGGAGGAAGGAGGATTAGCTTGGCCCTGAATTAGGAGACAGGAGGCGAAGGGGTGGAGGCGGGTTGTGCGTTGACACCTGAAATGACAACTGACAGAGAGGGAAGAGCAGATTTAAAGGGTTTAGCAGGTGCAATGATTGCTAGCTGGGGAGTACCGCCCCTGATTACTTAATGGGAGAAGAGCTTGCAGTGACGTGTAACACCAGGGGGTATGGTCTTCCTTCTTGAACTTGCGCTAAGCTTCATTTCAATCATGAGAGACGTGATGTATGAAATACATGTTTAATACCGGACACGTGGTATAGAAAATTATGATTGACAGATTACAACAATGAATCAACTGATGTTTGGAGATTAGGCCCCGGTTTGTAGGATATCATTCAGGAGGGGAAAACCGCTCCGATGAACCCCCAAAGAGAAGAGAAGTAAGAAGTGCTGAGATGTGAAGCATTTCTTACCTTGCTGGCTGATTGAGGAGATCTGTGGATGAAATGAGATAACACAGGGACATGATGAGATTGTCGGAATAACTGTAGGGTTAATGTGAACGCCAACCATGCTTAGCGCCTGCATGTTGGATTAGACGATGCTGACCCACTGGCCGCAACCTGCACGCGCAGGGTTAAACATGACGCTGACCCACCGGCCGCAACCTGCACGCGCAGGGTTAAACATGACGCTGACCCGCTGGCCGCAACCTGTACACACAGGGTTAAACAAAAGCTGACCCATATGCCGCAACCTGTATGCACAGGGTTAAACAAAAGCTGACCCATAGGCCGCAACCTGTATGCACAGGGTTAAACAAAATGCTGACCCATAGGCCGCAACCTGTACACACAGGGTTAAACAAATGCTGACCCATAGGCCGCAACCTGTACACACAGGGTTAAACAAATGCTGACCCATAGGCCGCAACCTGCACACGCAGGGTTAAACAAATGCAGACCCATAGGCCGCAACCTGTACACACAGGGTTAAACATGACACTGACCTACT